TCACCGGGGTGAGTGCCGCAATTGCTACTTACTCAACGACCACGACCACTCACTCTTCAGGCTTAACGCCCGACAGCACCGCGGACCTGCGGTGTACCATCGCACTACTCCGTGTCCAGATAGCGAACTGACAGCGTTGATTGCCGAGCGAGCTCCTACAATGTTGCCAGCACTTTGTGACTAACGCAGTGTTGGATGTAGCTGCCTCATACGACCTTGAGGTAAGCACACCGGAGCAAGGCAGGGAGCTTTGGTCTTCTCTGATCGAGCTCTCACACCAGCTCGACTGCTTCGCGTCGGTGATCTCTGCGTTGCCACCTGCCACCTCACAATCACCAGCCGTCTGCGAACTACCGGAATTCCACGGGGTCCGGAACGACGCCGACAGCTGGGTGGCAACCGTCAATGAGATAGCAATGCGCGAGGCCTGGACCGAAAATCGAAAATGGACCGTGGCTGTAGACCATCTTCGGGAAGGTGCAGCGGCGTAGCACAGGTATGAAGGCTTCAAGCAGCATTCCTGGGTGGAGTGGAGCTCCAAGCTCATAGCTGCCTTCGGCCGGACACTCTCCGATCTCCCTTCTACCACCCAGTTCAACCTGACGACAACCGTGGATAGAAAGAAGACAATCTTGGACCAGTGTGTACCACATCAGCAGTCATTGGCCGAGCGTGTGAGCTACATCGATGCATTCAAGGCAGAGAGAGCCAGCATCTGCCTTTTTGGCAACGTGTACGATCTTGCCGACAACGACAAGCCCGCCATTCTGACTCCCAACGTACAACCTGAACGTCGCGCAGACCCCCATGAAGTCGTCACCATGGAAATCGCCCCTGATTGTTCAGGCCATGACCAGCTCGGTCAAAACAAGAGCGATAACAGCAAGGAAGCTGCGGGCACGTCGCATCATGATTGTGTCCAGTGGCCAGTGAGCACTCACACTCACCCTCTGTTGCGCAAGCATTTTCCGGCTCGACATTCAAATGCGCATAAAAACCACACCACCCCACTCAGACGACATAAATGTTTACTCGGCAAGCAACGACTGCTGCAACACACCCACTGTCGCCCACCAAATCTCTACACAATGTTACAGCGTCGTAAAGACAGACCACCGAGGTAGAACCAGTTTTTTACCCCCGAGCCTTCATCAACCAAGGTGCGAGTGAATGGCGATGCCCAACGTCAACAACGACACTGTGGTCGACCAAGGCAGCAAATACTGTCTCAGCGTGCCAAGTCACAGCCTAGACGGGTCTGGCCCAGGCGAGGAAGTCAATGCCACCCGCCAGAACTGTTTTCACCAAGTCTTCCGAACACGTCGAACCTTGGACAAGATCAACCACAACGATGCAGCCAGTCTCAACCTCCCGATAGACTTGTGGCACACTCCTACACCCAGTTCCAGCGTGGTAGAGGCCGACCTCCGGGATGCAGCCAGTATCGAGCACGAGATCTACTTCTGGCAGATACCCGGACCAAATCGCAGCATGGCCGAGAGCGTCAGCCGCAATGGAGCAACCAGTGCCGGCCGCCTGAGTCCACACCACTTTTTCTAGAGACATCGTGGCGTGCAAAAGTGCGACCGGCTTGAGGCAGCCAGTGCCGTCCACCAGAGACGCTTTCCCCAGACCATCGCTCCATCTTGCTCCGGGCTGACCATCACGATGCAGCCAAGCCTGCCCACCAGAAACTTTGCCGCCAGCTCCGCGCGCGCGCAGTCATGTCCGAGTGTTATGACCAAGAAAGACGCTGGCGCTTCGGCGCGCGGGTAGCTAGAGCAAAGAAGAGAAGGACGAATACAGAGTAAGAACAGCTAGCCCAGGATCGGGTGTTGTCTCTTTTCTCTCCATTACAATACTTATGATCCGAATTGGTTTAATGTATTTTCACGATTGCGAGTGTAGCAGCCGGAAAAATTATTGCCCTGTCACAGTGATCTAGTGGCTGAGATACTCGGCTGCTGACCCGCAGGCAGATGGATTGAATCCGGGTGGTAGCGGCTGCATTCTCGGTAGAGGTGAGAATACTGCAGGCCCGTGTGCTCTGATTTGCGTGCCCGTTAAAGAACCGCAGGTGGTCAAAAGTTCCAGATTCCTCCACTACGGCGTCTCTCATAATCATATCATGGTTTTGGAATCCTAAACCAAACATATGAATCAGCTGGGAAATCGTATTAGGCAGGAATTTATTAGTGAGGTGATACTGTATAGGTCCACACAACTCCACGAGCTTACATATTCAACGAAAAATTATGGTCATCAACTGTGTCTAGATTCAAATTTTGAACCAAGAGACAGTGTGCATCCAGACTGAGTTCAATGGGCAGCAGACGCACTAGGCAAAGTGACTGATGTCAGTGCAACCAGTGAGAGTAATAAGTATGGCTCAACTGCGACTCCGAAAACACATACCTATCTACAGAAAGCTCCTAGTGGGCATGAAGCACAGCAATAGGGCAAACATTGCCACTCACTACTGGTGCATAAAAGATTAGACAGAAAAAAGGGAATAATAAAATAAAAATAATTAGCAAAGAAATAAATGCATATATAAATACATAACCTGCATGTTGTAGTTCTGGTTAACTGAGGTGGAACTGCTTAAAAAGCATATGCTATGATTTGAAAAATAATAATAGATGTATAAATACAAAAAGTAAGCAAACAAAATCCTTGCGCGACACTGCTTGGCTGGAGCTAATCCACATTCACAGAGTGGAATAGCTCCAGCGTTTTGCAGAAATTTTCGCAACACCTCCACCGCAAAAACATGCACATATAGCTGAACTTATTCATTATAGCCTGCTTTGAAGATTATGCTGATTTCATTTACCCGAAAAGCCTCAACAACTTCCAACGACCGGTTATCAGTGTACAGGATTGCCAACAAGTTCCTTCGGCTACTCTGTACCGATAGCGAAATATCTAATACCGACAAGAATGATGAATTATCATTGTATTCATGTGATTCATTGATAAAATATTTCAGCTGATTGAGAGACAGGCATTCTTCTTTGCAGACAAGGCGTACATTTTCCATTTTCTGTGCACTATTGGGAAGGAACAGATATTAAACACTGAGCTAACGATAATAAGCATTTTTTTGCATAAAGTTTTATCCATCTGACATGTGTTTGAAGCATTTTGCTACACACTTGATGATGACAGAGGCATGTTTACCAAGACAGACATGGGCATTTCAACAGGATATTGAAAACATTGTTTACCTTTCTTCAAATGCTTGATGCATGCAGATAACCATCGCACATTATATCAGTTGTCATGGTGTTCAAGTAATGTAGCATGACTGCGTGCAGTTTTGACAAAATTATTGATGCTGTATTAGCAGCTACTGTCGAACATCTGCAACTTATTGCAATGCTTACACTTGCTTTAAAGTTGGTCTACCATAACGTATTTCACGTATTTATAGACTATTGATCATGATGCGCACCTTAAATAGGGGGGGGGGGCACTTGCACAAAAAAATTTCTTGTATGCAAGCTTCTCTTCAGGACACATGCACGCAACTACACGAATCAGAAACTGAGCTGTACACTCTTAAATATTCCACGGTGTACACTTCATGAACACACTGCACTACATTAGACAGAATCGCTCAAATGTGACACGACCCACAGAATTTCACCACAGTGCTACACACAACAGCATTCGTATGGCATTGCGCATGACGAATTACAACAATGTCTGGCAATAAAACTTGCTCTTCCTTATCGTAGCAGAAGCTAGCGTTTGCAAGCGTTCAAAATTTGTGCATGCTATTTGCTGCGACGAACGGCACACACAGCACAGCCGACGCTTACACTTGTTGCGATAATTACAAACTTTTAACTTCGGCGAAGCACTAAACGCATATCCTGCTTTAGAAAGGTGGATAATTACATCACGGAAATCTTCGAAGTTCTTTGCGATTACACTTGAAAGATGGACGGTACAACCCAGGAAACACACAAAACGACGACACTCGCATCCACAAACACTGTGCTCGTTTCTTCGTTTCCGCTGTCGATCGCGCGTGCTAACGAACAGTGAACACTGGCTGGCTACTGATGTCTCCCCGGGAATCTCATAACGCTTACAATGGTCACAACGATAAAATCAGCTGTTCTTTTTTTTTTTCATGTCACTGCAGCACCCGCTTCAGCAAGCGCCATGTTTGCCAAGCGAGCCGATGGGGCAGGCCGTCCAGGCCGCTTCTCGCAGTAGAAGCGAGCCATGCGAGCCGGCTGGCGGCTCGTAAAAGTTGAGAGCCACTCTGCCTGACGTCACAGAGACGGCCTCTCTCAGCCATTTGCACTGTGTGGGTGTGCGGAGTGGGTGTGCTGCTAGAGCGTGTAAGGGCCTTTACACGCTACCTGCACAGCCGCAACGCACGTGCCGGGACTGTTGCCGCTCGCAAGCGGGGCACAAATGAGCCAATAGGCGACGCTCTTTCACCCTCCGCAGTGTCGCCAATTGACTTATTTGAACCCCGCTTGCGTGCGGTAGGGGTCCCGGCACGTGTGTGGCAGCAGTGTGGGAAGCGCCTGTAAAGGCCCAAAGGGCCCTTACCCCGCAACACCTGCTGCGACCACCACTCGCAACACCACCCACTCGTCAGTTCACACGCAATAAACCTGACGCTCGCCTAACACACGCGTTGACACATGTCCGTACGCATCTCCTACAAGACCTATATCAGCCATCGCTGCAAAAAAATCTTCCAGTGCTTGCCGGAGCAGCCTCGTTAGCGCCGTTCAACCCGGGTGCAATGCTGCTGCTTTTCATCCTATAAGGGTTTTTGGGAAGGTGGTCTAAATTTTCTAAAACCTTGCCCGCCACTCCTGATCCAAAAATATCATCGGGTTAGTTCATATTGTTCACAAGACTTATTTCATGTGTGCGAGATTGAGGAGATTGCCATATGCCACGCCTCAAATGAGTAGAAGTGAGCAATGAGCTGTAGTGCTTCTTGGGTATATCGAGCAAGCTCTTACCCGAACGTCACGAGTTCGGCGATGAAGTTACGATGACTAATGAGGCCAGCCTTGGGCAGACCGGTAGATCCACTGGAGTGGAAGACGATGGCCACGTCGCCTGGGTCGGCTGGAGCGGGACGCTTGAAGGCATTGCGGGGCGTTTCTTTCAGCGTCGCAATGTTCGCCATGCCGTTGCGTTCTCCAGCTGCCACCAATGCCTTGTAGAGCAAGGGGGATGAGCAATCAGGCTTAGTCAACTAAAAATGGTGAACGCCACCCAACATGACACCTTCATAATTCGCATTCACTACTTGCACACTCCTTGAAGTAGACTTGGTTAATATTTGTTTTTATACGCATTTTTGGCCACACGCCATCATCCAATAATTCTGCACTTCCGCACAATAGAGCCTCCCTTATGGTACGTTTTGTTCTACAAGATCTTGCCGATTTTCATGAGCAGTCCCCACCTTTTGTTTTTCTGTGCCACATTGGTCGGGTTTTGGTTAGGGCCGGGACAAATGGTATCGTTAAAAGCAAAGCTTTCGACATGAACAGACGTTTGGTGACTTTCCCGCTAGGCGAACAACGCATGCACCGGGGAAATGTCCAAAAGGCGAATTTTTGTTGTTGTTGTTGTTGTTGTTGTTCTTGCTGCTGCTGTTGTTGTTGTTGTTGTTGTTGTTGTTGTTGTTGTTGTTGTTGTTGTTGTTGTTGTTGTTGTTGTTGTTGTTGTTGTTGTTGTTGTTGTTGTTGTTGTTGTTGTTGTTGTTGTTGTTGTCGTCGTCGTCGTCGTTTCCTCTGCACATGGCTCGTACCCGAAGGAGAAGATGGGCCGACTATAAGGTGAAATTGCCCGATACCTTCAGCATTGCTTCATTCCTAAAAAAACTTTACTTAGTTAATTATATTTTGAAGTGCGAATTGCAAATTTGAAGAAAAAAAATAAAAGTTTTGAGCCTACAATTTAGCAAGAAAATTGTTTAGTCACAGTGATGTATTCCTGAACGGCGAATAACACATCCCTGTGGCTGCGATTCATTGTAGAGGCTCCAAGTAAAAGAAGAGGAGGTTCTGATAACTACAAGCCCAGTTTTTCAAGAAGTCGTGCTAGTATGCTGTTCCTAAATAAATGGAAACTGTTACAACATAATAAAATTGACTAGCTGTTTCCTCTTGATTACAGTAAATGCACAATCCGTGCTCATTACACCGGTTCTATGCAAGTAAAAATTGACGAAGGTAACGCGGGAACAAATTTTGTAATGACAACTTCCATCATCCTTGAATTAGACAGTTCACTGAACCAGAAAAATAACAAATGGTTATAACAAATGACAAATGGTTGTACTCTGGAGAAGCTGTCATTGTAGGGTCTGATAATTTTTGCCTGATTTTAAGCGTGCAAAATCGCGCAACCATATTGTGTACTGTAGGTGGGAATACAAGAATGATGGGTGTCGAAAGCGATGCCTTCGCAAGAAAATCAGTCATTTCGTTTAACAACAAGCCTTTGTATCCTGGAGCCCAGATTAAAAATATAATTTAGAGATGATATGGAACCAATGAGACGAATTTATACATATAATTAGATCGTAAACTTGCGGCTCACACCCACCTTGGGGGTTCACCAAGAATCAGGTAGCTTAACAGAAAAGGCAATATATATAATAAAGTCCTACCGAAAAGAATAACAACAAGATTATTGATTTTTGGTAAATTATTCTTGAGAAAAAACTGAATGATTTAGTTCCTACTGAAAAGCGATAAATGATTGATATCAAAGAAAACTTTCCTGTAGCCTACATCAGTGAACCAAGAACCTTTTGGTATTGAGGTTATTGAGTAAATTTCTTCGACTGTTCAATGAAATTTTGCACGGCCTCGCACACTTTAACGCTGCTGTGTCCACGGGTGTGTGCAACTAGGGAAAGTAAAATTTACGTTGTCAAAGCTAATCCAAGGATTTGTAGCGGTATTCCTAGTGATACCTTCCTTAATTTTGAAGATGTTCGACAAGAGGTTAAAAAGTGATCTACAGTTTCCTGTTCTCCACAAAAAGAACAGAGCGAGGAGACAATCAAACGTGATCTAAACAAATAAAACTTTAATGTAGGAATACGGCAGCGTAATCGCCTGATTAAAACTTCCAGACATCAATTATGACACGAGAAAAGTTTCCAGGGTGTCATTAGATGGTTGAAATCGGGTGACATTTTTTTTAGAATGGCGTGGAAAATGCTCGCATTATCATTTGCCTCCGAAATTTAGCTGCTACTAGCTTTGTAGGGGTAATATTGGCAGCTGGTCTGTCTAACGCCGCTTTCGCAAGTGCATCAGCGGTTTCATTTAGAGCTATGCCTATATGCCTCGGCACCAATGCTAGTCACACCTGAGTTAAAGGATTTGGTGCTATGGAGTTGAATGTGCTTAATGCTTTGAATCACCGGTTGCCGTGAATGCACTGCGGACTGGCAAAGAGTCCGTTATTTTTTCGCCGGAATGTATTAAGGTTAGCTGTTTTCGAAGGGCCACTGGAGCACCTGAAAATTTTGCAATAAATATAGGTGTGAAAACTGGAATTCGGAAAGAAAAAGACCAGTCTAGAACAGGGCAGAATACGCCATAGCCGCTCTTTTCATCATTTTGTGAAGCGTCCGTCGCAATGATGACCTGAGATTGAATTCCTAGCAGGTATAACAATGTGTAACGTTGTATAACGGTGTTCTTGCTTCTTTGTCTCGTTTTGTTTTTTACTGTATTTGCTCAGAGTGTACTATTTCTCTACCAATGCAAACTTTGCTTAGCTTATCTTTTGATGTAGATTCTATCGAGCTTCATTTAGTGTCATTTTCGTTACCCCCTTCCCCCCCCTCCGTCCTGATTATTGGGATCTTTTGTGGGGTCTCGGGCAATGTGAAAGAACAAATTAAGATAAGTACATAACAATCTTGTCAATGTAATCTTAATCTGCAAGAAAGAAGCATAGCGTCAATTCAGTTGCCATTCGCCCCGTGTTCTCAGATTTGGGTGCACGTTAATGAAACCCAGGTGGTCGTAATTTCCGGACCCTTTTAAAATCATCATTTGCTTTTCGGATGTTCAGCCCCAGATATCAATCAACCAGTTGCCATTCGTAATGCCCACACACTGTAGCGCTACCGCGTGGGATTCAGAATTGTCCTCTCAAGGATGGTCAGTAGGCAGACAGTGCCTTGTTCGGCTGTGCTACTCTTAGGGTTAATACGCTACCAAGAAACAAACACTGACTGTTTTGCATGTTTCCTGCATCAGTAAACAAATGGGACCATCCGTGGCATGATAAATGTGATCGCTCGAAGTTTTCATGAAAATTAGCACAACTCACGCTTTCAATGATAGCCCGCACAGTACGCATATTAGCTTCACGGGGTTTTTTATAAGTACGTAGGTTGGTTAAATATTATCACCTGACCTTTGCAGTTGAAACTCGGCTTCTTTTACGAGCATATAGCATTCGACAGGGCTTCTTGTTGTGCAATATTTTCATAACAATGTCCGCGGAATGTCGCATGACCTCGCGGTTTGCTCTTCCATAACTTTGGTGTGCGTTTGTTGATAGGTGGCAGCACACTGCTGGTGATTTGTTTGTGAATGAGTTTCTGAGCAGAATTTATTCCGTGCTCCGATAAACGTGGTGAGTGAAGCCATATTGGTATTGTCGAAGTCGTATGACAGATAAAATTGATGAAGTTGCTTTTAGAATTATTGAAAGAAGCCATCTTGACAACAAAGATATTTCCCTGGACGTAGAAGGCTGTCGACGCACCAATGTATAACCTTGACAGCAAGAAAGACAGCGATGATGAACGATCAGCTGCTAACTCACGAGGAGCCATTCGCACTTCAAGTCCCTTCGTGCATAAATGTTTCTTTTTCACGGTCGTACGTCACTTTCATTGCATTGAATGCATATTATTTTCACCGAGGTCAATGTAAAAGCATACACTTTTTCTGCAGAAGAGTGTGCATTGTGCATTGAATTGCTTCTTGTTCATTGCATGTATTCCAATTACTGCGGATATTATGGAGTTTCACATGCCGCTGACCCACTCGAGTTAGACCAGCGAAGCGAAATGGTTAGAGTGATAACACGTGCTGTGACTACTACAATTCACACCTTGTCGCTAACTTCAGTAGGTCACCAGTACCTTTTGAATGGCGTTGTTCGAGAAATTTTCGAAGTTCTGACATTGCGAGATGCATACGTGTGCATTCTATTCAATATACATTCTTTGATCGCGCTGGTGGAACCGGCAACTTCAGAGTGTGTGATTTGCGCACAGCTATTATAGCTGTGCGCATATAGACGTGCTCACGCTGAGCACGTCTGTGACACAAGCGCCACTTAATGGGATGTTAGATGCTCTGTCGAAGAAACAAGTTCACGTTTCTGAGAGTGCAGGTAATGACGTTGGTATATTATGTATGCAAACTATCGCCGCCTTAAACATTTGTTCTCGTGCTGTCGATGGCGGCCTACTACTGCAGCAAATTCGTCAGGTGGGAAGTAATTCAGATCAGTGAAATTGACTACGTCCATACTATGTGCATGCTGACTCTTCACAAGTGTTCAATTGTCAGTGTCAGAATATATCAGCTGACCCACGTAATAATCGAGGCTGAAGTAACTGATAGGCCGGGAGATTTCTGAACCATCGATTACCCTTTTCAGTAAAGAGTTAGACTATCTACGTAAAGATAGGGTATTTCAGACATTGCGTGTACTCATGATGTTATTAAAAGGTTATGCTGATATATGTGGTTTACAGTTGCTGCAATAAACAGTGTTCCAAGTTTGTTGCTATATGTCTCACGTCTTTCTCTGTCCATGTTTTTTCGTGCCCTATAAAAATACCAAATTACCTTTTCTTTAGCCGATCGCACGTTGCATGTTTTGTCGAGCGTAAATTTTCTTTCTGTTTTACCAGAATGCTTAAAACTTTTTCATGGGGTGCTCCTTTTCCGCTGTTATTTAATGATTTGCATAATAATATTGGTTTTGTTTTTTAATGACTGAATTCCCGCAATGTGTATAGCTAAATTTATATAATGCTATATAAATTTAGCTCTATAATATAAGCTAAATATATAATGCTATATAATAACAAAGCAAATCAATGCTTATTCCTGCATAAACTGTAATTACTTAACAAAGCAACATTGACCTGGCGATTTTTTAGGATGATATGAAATCTGTGCATGAGTGATTACGTACTTAGCACAATGGGTTTATACCGTAATCACGCTTATGATAACGATGACGGTGATTTGCTAAAAAGGCAGCCACATACCTTAACAGAGGGAATGTTTTGGCACACTTCCTGAATTTTGTCGGCAGTTTCCATATCGGAGTAGACGAGAGTAGGTTTCGTAGTCATCAGGACTCGGGTCATTTCTCCTGCGTGGAGCACAAGGAAAGAATGGCGCCAGAACACAGAAATACACCACGCTCACGCCAACGAAATAGCCACGACAAGGCAGCGACGCTAACGCCGTCACCATTCTGAAAGGAGCACTTTTACCCCGCCCCATGAAAAGATCTTTCAGAATGGACAAAAGCTTAGTTTTGAAACCAACGAACATCAGCTTTTGGCCAGAACTGTAGACAACGGAGCAGAACAAAGTGAGCGCGAGCATGCAACCAGTGAGGCTGACGCTTTTTTCTTTCGCTTATTTTTCCCCGGTGGTTTGCGTCATCAAATTTTCTTGCAATATGTATCAGCTAGTCCAAACCATGGTTACAATTTCTTAAGAGTTCTTTATTACGCAATAAAATTCCTCAGATTAACGCTAACGTGACAGAGTAATGAAATGTAGCAATTAGAGTTGATATTAAATACACAAAAATAAAATATATGCTTTCGTGACTTGTTGGGGGACGCCGGATTGATTTCGACCACCCGGGTTTCTTCCACTTGGATTTGACTTCGGGTCAAACCAAAATGGAAGACACCCGAGGTGGAAACCCGATGGAAGATTTGAACTCGGGTCAAAGAAAAGTTTGCTATCTAGACACACAATGTGACTAGCTATAACATTCTTTACGATAAATGTGTACTTGGCCCGGCTTGTGGATTGTTCATGTGTAATTTATATGACATGGCGATGCTTAAAATAAATACACTCCAAGGCAAAATTACCCGAAAAAGGAGTACCGGAGCCCAATAGGCGCGCGCGATGAAGTGATAGACCGTTGAGGAGCAACCACTGAGGGAAGCGTGCCGCGCGAAACCACTTACCCCCGTATTCTAGAACGCCCCTTGACTCAACGCCCCACCTTTACTTGATGGATGGATGAATGGATGGATGTATATGGCTGTACCATTTAGATCCGGTGTTGGCTAGCGCCAGCAAGCCGTAATACTTAAAGAAACAAAAAGTAGATTTATTTTTTCCTTAAATATGGAGGTTGAGGATTCGTACTTTGCAGTGAAGGTTTTAATTTTCACTCGTGCCTTGACTTTAGCCACTAATCAGATAACCTCCTTCTAGTTAATTCTACCCGCTTAAAGTCTATTTTGCCCTCACTGTCCCTAAACCCCAGTGCTTTGAAAAACTCTGCGCCATCATCCTGAACTATAGGGTGAAGCCCTTTACAGAACATTATCAAGTGTTCTGCAGTTTCTTTTTCGTCTTCACACGTACTGCATACCGTGTCTACCCCTTCGTATTTGGCCCGATATGTCTTGGTTCGCAATGCGCCCGTCCTGGCCAAAAACAGTAGAGAACTACCCCGAGTATTATCATAGATTTTTTTCTTGGCAATTTCCTGCTTAGAAGTTCGATAGATGTCTAGCGCAGACTTCTTAATCATGCCGATTCTCCACATATCGGTCTCGGCTTCCTTCACCTTCTTCTTAACCGATAATTCTTTTTGGTTTGGTTCCCTGCTGTTTTTCCAAGTATTTACCAGTCAGTTTTTTGGTTCGCTTCCGCCATTTTGTATCGACATTCTTGATGTACAAGTAGCTGAATACCTTCCTAGCCCAACGCTTTTCCCGCATTTCTCTCAATGGCTTCTCAAATTTTATCTTGCTGCTATCTTCCCTGCCCTAAAATGATGTCCATCCCATATCACCTTGTACTCCCTTATTTGGTGTATCCCCGTGAGCTCCTAAGGCAAGCCTACCTATTCCACGTTGCTTAATTTATAATCTTGCTTGAACTTCTGATGGGAGCGCCATCTTTAGGCAGAGAAAGTCACTGCATGTCAGTGACAATTTGCTGCTATTTTTCAGTAGCTCAGCGTCATTTTCAGCTGAGCAGTGGCGCAGTGCGCGAATCTGTCAAGTAAAGGGTTAATGTCGAGTCGAGGAGCGTTTGTGAATATGGGTGTTAGTCTCTAAACACGCTCCAAAGGAATGAACCGCCCGGGGTTGCAGGCAGCGCGAAAAACGTTGCCAAGGTGACCAGCCCTTCTTCTCCCTTCTCCCCCTGTTCTGGTTCCGTCTTTCCTCGTATTTTGCCGGCGACGGTTTGCGTTGCGTTGCACTCAGAGTGCTCGACCACGGCCACCCGAATTCGACGATCTAAGAATTACGACGTGGTGCTTGTGTGTACACTTGGATGAGCGTGGGCTGCTGCTTTTGCGTTTCGCTGCACCCATGAAAGCTGGAGCAAGTCTCGACATGTCACCACGCCACGCTGTATATCTCTGGCTTCAAGATAGTCACGACCAACACACGACAGCAAGAGTAGGGAAGGCCAACATGGCGGCCGAGAAGACAGCAGGCCTATCGCATATATACTTCAGTCCGACTCAGGGCAGAAATCAGCGCTGGATTTTTTCGCAAGTAGGTTATCATTCTTTATCCTACTCTACTTGTCGCGTGTGTGACACGGATCGTGCTTGCCTGAAATGGGCTCATCGTGTTGTGTAACGCACGCACGAAATGCACCGCGAAGGTCAGCTTGGGCGTCAGCAGTCCACATGTGTTTTGCGACCGCCTGGAAACTGGCCGCCATTGCCGTCGGCCTCCCGTACGATCGCTCATCGATACTCGCCTGTCTTCGCCGCCGCGATGAGCTCCAGGCTGACGATATTGGGCTGAGACCTCGTCGATGTGTTGGGAGTAATCAAAAACACGTTGCGAGCTCTGGTAACAAGCTTGCTTGGAATAGGGCGCGCGCTGTAAGTGCACCAGCACGTGCTGGCGGGGCTTTCGCTAGCGTCGGAAATCGGTGAAAATTAGTTGCTATCACACTTGGCTTTCCTGTCAGTTGCTCGCAAGCAGCTCCGCGCCGTCTGTTTGCGCGCTGCACTCACTCGAGTTTGTGGAAAAAGGGCCGCATTACCGTCGATTTCTTCGGCGCTGTTCGTGCCTGCGGCCAAGCGTACGCTCGCTCTCTTGTTCGAAGTTCGCTGGCGGCAGACACTCCGCGTGCAGCGCCGTGTTTGGTCTCACGTTTGCTTGCTCGAGCTGAAAGATGTCTTTCGCTTAGGACTCGTCGACTTGTTAGCGGCACGGTGGTTCGTGAAGTTCTGGCTGCGGCCACCGCTCCTATGCTGTTGCGCTACGGGGATCAAAATTCTGATTTTTTAAATACTAATTGTACTCTGCTTGAATACTTTTTCCCGTTAGACCCACTACTAGCCTATGGCTATGGGTCTAATCACTGTTGTGCATTTCATGAAATGTAATCATAACAACCTCAATAAAATGAAAAAATGAAATTGAGTCTTTGACGATGTGTGACATCACGGTGAAATTAGCAGTCATATCTCACATATGTTTTCATTTCACCTAGCACGTATTTCTTATATGCATTTGTATTCATCTTCTGTCACGTGTGACTTACTATTTTGCATACTTTTTGTGCAGCCGTGGGCACACACCGTGCTGAAGACTGTGTGCGCTGGCGTCTGCGATGCCTGTCATCGATCTCTTTCGTCAGAGCAGCTTTAGAAAGACTGTGTGAGATGTGAAGGTAAAGTTATTTGTGTGTCATATTCGAACGCTTGTTTTTAGATTACCGTGCACATACTTGTCATATGCGTGCATCTTCATCTTCTGTAACGTGTGTCTATTTTTTATATTATTGTACGTGTAGCCGTGGTGAGACGTCCCCCGCTACGCCACCGATTGCCAAAGAGAGGGAAGACCACTCAACCCCTTGTCCATCCGTTTGCCTCTTGGCTATGTGTCTCAATCACTTCCCACATACAGGAATTCACGCTGGGGCTGGGAAGTAAGAGACGCTACGACCTGTTCCTGTTTACTGATTCATTTATTTCATTAATAACTGAACCCGCATACATCAACCACTACACAAAATTATAACACTGATTTAGGCACTCGCGACGTTCGACACAGGGCAGGCACATAAATAAAGTAACTGTAACAATACAAGGGTATGCATATAAAAACACACGACGACACAAATGATGAAGTTAATAATTATTAAAACCGCCCAATGCCTCAATATGCCGCATCGCTTCCCGCAAAGTTCGTTTAAGTAAGGGAGGTGAAGTTCGTCTGACAGAATGTCCATGTAGTCGCGGCCTCGGAGTTGGCTGCTCGAATCGGGGCCGAAGGTTGGTTCTTGGCGTCGAGGTATGATCTGTCCAATTCGTCAGCGTCTTCATCGTCTTCGTCGTGCCTCTCAGTGATTTCCATCTTAGCCCTCTTTCGTAACGCTCCATTCACTCGCCTCCTATCCCTAACTTTCATTCCTCATCGTACCGTCCTTGCCCCTCTACCATCTCGAGCTCATCGCATCGTATATCTCTGACCCCTCGTATCGTCTCGTAGTCCGTTTTTGTAGGAGCCGACTCCGCCCCTCCGTAGCACCTAACAAATTGCCACTGTTGGCACGACACATTTCTCTGTCAGTCAGAGTTTATCATCTTCGACGGCCGCCGCGGCCCGCACCAGTGGAAAACCCTCTCCCAAGCAAAGCCGAGCAAGTAACAATGTTCAAACTCAAGCCTCAGGGAGAGAGATGGGCGAGCCGTCCGAAGACACTTTAATTACAGGCGAACAATGGTCCCGATGCTTCCGGTACTTGATGAGCCGATGTCCAGACCAAGTCTCAACGTTTCCATGCAGCTCGGTGTCTCCCGCGAAATTCTCTGTAGCCACCGTTTCTTCGACATTCAACGCTGCGGGTGGCCATCCGCGCAGAACGCAGTAATGAGTCCTGGAGCCACGGAGGCTGACAGAAGTCAGACCCGACCCAGCACAGGCGCTGCGGCAGAGTCGCATTCCCCGAACCAACAAAAGGTGCTCTGCTCCTCCTCCATGCCACAAATCTGAAGGGTGCGCGCGGATTGCCTCCACCGTACACTGTCACACTGTAGACGACAAGGCGCCACCCGGTCCTCTTGTTTGTGCGGGGGGGGGCGAGAAAAGTAGAAATAATCCTTCCAGGTACTCCACTCTGGAATGCCCATTCGTT